TTGATCATGGAATGGTTACCCTTATTGTAACCAAAGGACAATTTTGATTCATCAACATTGCTGACCTTGGCCATAACAGGAAAGTCAGTTGCACACGTTAATTGATTCTACATTATTTATGTCTTTAAAGATGAACAACAAGAGCCTTAATATCATATTTTTTAAAAGTGCTAAGCCAAATCACTAACCTTTTCTGGCTCCATGCTGCTAATTTCGAATACCTCTAAAGCTCCTCTATTTTACATATTAAAATACAAAATCTTCATCAACTAAGCTGTCTTCCCTATCAATAGACATCTACATCTAGCCTTCCCCATACCCAGGATATATGTTATGAAGATTCAAGGTAGTCCCCACTCTCACAATTATGCTAGAATGGTCACAAGCACAGGACATGGCATTGACTATGGAAGAGAGGACAAGACCAATCACACTGGAATAGTTAAGTGAGGAAACCAAGTCTTCCCAGAGCTTCTTAGTACTTCTGAAGAAACTTGATATAGTCAGAAAATAAATTCTTTTCCCACTTCTCCAATGATAAAAACTGGTAAAGAAAAACAAACAGCTCTTTTCTTGAAATACAGAGGAAAGAGTCCCATTGGTATCAGGTGGCTTGGGATCAGGCCATTGTTGGATAAGCACAGCTTCTCACCGAATTAAGTAGAAGATGGAGATCTTGGATTCACTGCATTTTCAGCTCATCGTAAGTGAAATCATGCAAAATGTAACCATAATGATACAATGGGACTAGGATCCAATTGTAGACCTGCTAATTAAAACAGCCTGCAATCTATATGGAAATTCAGCTCTGCACTACCAAACACTTGTTGCATTTTGATCTCATTAGAATACATTCTGAGTATGCAGTGTTATTTATCTTTGGGTGTGAAGCCAGGTGGGTACCTTTTACAGACCAAAATGACAGAATGACAGTTTTGTTACAGTTCCCAAGCGGAGGCACAAATAAAATTACAGTGCCACAGGTCAAACGTAATGGCTGTAATAGCTTTCGACAACCACATTGCTTTCAGCTCCCCTACCAATGCTGCATTGCTCAATATCAGCCACAGGACTTATTCAAGAGCAATTAGCAAAAGGCATAATTGTAAATGAATACTTAGTTTTGCACTCCTCTGAGCAATCCAATAAATGAACCAGATTCTCCTCTCCATTACATCACTCCAGTCCCATTGACTTTAGCCTGAACGTGGCTGCAACCAGTGTAACAGAGGAGAATTTGGCCTATGGAGAATAATAATTTGAACTGGCAGGAGTCAACTGAGGATGGCTTTAGCTACTTAAAATAGATTAAATTTTCTCTCCGAAATTGACCCATACCCTGCCTTTGGGTTTTTTAATGCAGAATGCTCATGGATTTTAACAGACCTCCATGCCTGGAATGATAGCAAGATCTGAAGCCAATTAGGAGGGGAAGTTTCTATACCACATGTGCGGGTCTCAATTTTAAAAGATGATCAGGGATTTGGGGTGCCTAACCCTTTGAGGGCTCAGCATCCCTCCCTGGAAGTTTGAGACCTCTTAAAGAGGCCGCAAACTGAGCATCCAAAATATTGAGGCACCCGAAGTCATTGGTCACCTTTGGCATTTTAGGCCACATTGTGTAAAAGTCAGTTCCCGCCTCTTTACTCTGTTCTTGGTGTACCAGTAGGGCTTTTGGTTTTGTTGTAGAAGCAGTCTAGTGACGTGAATGAAACTTTCCAGAGTTTGTGGGACTAATTTTCATCTCCTATTGGTGTATGTTAACACGAATGCAGATTCAGGGCCTGGGTCTTTGGTAACTATTCTGGCAATAAAGCAGAAGCAATCTGACTAGTAGTTAGGGCAGAAGCCTAGGACTTGGGAGCCGTGGGTTCAGGTCTCTGCTCTGGTACAGACTTTGTGTGACGTTGGGCAAGTCAATTACTTTCAGTTCCCCACCTGCAAAATGAAGATAATAGCACTTCCCTACCTCACAAGGGTGTTGTAAGGGGCTCCGATATGATGGTAAAGGGGGCCACACAAGATACAATGTCATGAGTGTGCTTAGTCCTTTCAATGGTTTATTAAAATATGGGGCTGCACAATTATGCCTTGTCTACACTTGTGACGGCATGTAGCGTACATGCTGCAGTGAAAGGCTCTGGCAGGGATGAGGGATGGCTTTGGAAGCTCCAGGAGCAGCTAGAACTTTTCACTACAGCTGAGAAAGGCTCTGGCAGCTCCCTGAAGCGGAACACTGCACTTCTTGGGCACGTAGAGAACCGTGTAGGGTACATACCCTAAGGTTCTGACCGGTCTTGATCCCGCTTGCCTAAGCAGTCCTATCTACACTGCTATTTATACCCGTGCTAGGGTGGGGTGCAGTGTTTGACTCTACACGCCGCCATGAGCGGAGACAGCTTAAGATGGTCACTGACCCACTCCAGAACTGCTGATCAGAGGTGTGGTCCCTGGAAAATACTGTACTTCCAAGGATACCCACTGCAGCACAGCCAAAACGGTGGGCTAAAGGGATAATCTGAACTGCCTGCTCTGGTTTATGCGTATCTCTTGAAAGATACCCTAGCCAGTGGATTGCATTATCAGTTATAACTGAAGCTCTGATTCCCTACAACCTACCTATGGACCAGACATCGCTACAAAAAATCTGCAATTGAAATTACAGGTTGTCCACAATGAGCCTCCCAACTGCTTGTAAAACAAATATTGCAGAGGACGAACAGAATGGCATACGCAGATGTCAACTCTCTCCCATTAAGCAGTAACGAGGGTGGAAGAATAAAGAAAACAGCTGCAGTTTATACCACCCACACACACAATCTCCGTTTTGAACTACAGCTACAAGAGTGTCTCAGATAGCAGGGAACATGTTATTCTCACCATCAAAGCATTGCACATATATAATAGGTTATTCAAGCAGATCAAGAAAGTAATGTTTTGCAATAAGATTTTTCTTAAATTGAGTCTTCATGAACTTTGTCTTGGCTCATGGGCCTGGCTGGCCCTGAAGACACAACATGTAGCAACTGTTCACGAGGGCCATGTTTTGACTGTGTCAAAGAAGATGGATACTGCACTTGATTTTAGTCACAAGGCGCAGCAGTTTAATATCCGATGCTGTACATCCTCCATTGGGGGCCTCTACCTGGTCCTTGGCAGGGAATGAATGTGGTGCTCTATTAGGTCTTTGTTATCTTTACTGTGATATTTCTATGCTCTATTAACCCGCACAGCAGTCCCATCAACTTGAATGGGTGTGGCAACGTGCATAACCTAGAGCACAATTTGGTCCTACGATCCTAGGTTTCGTTAGGCCGAGAGGAACTTTATGGGCCAGGTCGTCAGTTGGCGTAAATCAACGAGTGATATCAATGGAGCTGCGCTGCTATACACCAGCTGAGCAACTAACGTCTATGGTTATTATCTAAAAATGCTCTAGCTGTATCTGTATCCAGCTTTTTGGACTTGATCTAAATGGGGCCCATTCATGCTTTTTTGTATTACGTTGGTCATTTCATTGTTCAACAGCAGCAAGGAGAATTGTGTTAGAGATTCAACAGGATTGGGTTTGCCCCTCTCAGCAAATTGCAGCTTGGAGAAGCAGATGCTGGCTGGTTGTTTCATACTCTAGCACAGAACTAGTTACAGTCTGTAATCTTTGCAAAAATATAAACCTCAAACTTCACCATGCTATATGTGAAGCTCTGCTAAAGTTAGCAATTTTTGAGTGACCATTTCAGCTTGGGATCGCTTGCTCTGATCAATTTTGGTTTATTGACATGCCAGTAAGGGTGCTATACTGTTCTTTATTCAGTTTCCTGTAACAACGTTTTGCCGATTTTGTTCACAGTAACACCGATAACAGAGTCCGCCTTCCTATTACAGAACTCTGCCAATGTCAGTAAGCTTTTTCTTTCGGTGTGCAAGGGATCATTTTATTAAGTGAAATTTTGTTTTAGAAAATGAGAAAGGTTAGCTCTCACTCTTCTGTGTTTCTGTACATTTCGTAATATGGGGAGCACTTTTGTGGTTCCACAAAATTTTGTCCAACATATTTAGATTCGTAGCGATTTTCAGGAATTGAGAGACTTTAGGTCACATAGGGTCCAAGATATGAACGTTTCACATCAATAGGCATTGAACACAAGTCCTGATTTTACAAGGTGTTTATTGCTTCCAACTCCCATAGACTTCAGTCCTTTATTTTTCCCACCTGCATCTTTTACTTATTTCTTCAAATTTTTAAACACACAACTGTATGTGCCCAGACCGTACATTAGAAGTCACAGCAGGAACAAAGAACTGCCCAGGAATATATCTACCTCCAGCCAGGCCTCTCCAACAGCTGAGGGTACTCAACACATCTCAGGGTGTCATCAGCAACTTGCAATCTGAGTCCAGAGACTAAGTGGTGTGTGGGTAGAACATGAGTGTCTGTCTATACTCCTTCCCTATGTTTCTGAGCTCTTCCACACGCTGTTTTCCAGTGCTTAAAAAGGGGCTGGTGACACTAGGGACCACAGACCTGGTCCAGACGAATAGAAAGCTCTGAGGAGGGTCGACAAGAGAGTAGGCTGTAGGGAAGGAGGGGTGGGTCTCAAATAGATTCATTCAAACAAGCAAGCGAAAGCCTAATTTTGCTATGAACCGCTGAAAACATTTTACTGGTCAGCAACAGATCTGGGACTTGAGAACACTAAGAGTTGCCTGTTTTTCAATGCTCCAATCTGTGTTGCTGTCACCTCTGCTAGAATTCAAATATTTCAGTCATATCATAAAAAACAGTCCTCCTAACTCTCACTGTTGCATCAGGTCTTGAAATATTTAGGAAAGGACCCACCTGAGGCCAGTTGAGTAGCATGGAACTTACTGATAGAATTTTCCTTGGCGGGAATAGCTTGTCATCACAGTGGAAAATGTAGGCTGTCTCACGTACTATTGGTTTCCATAGAGCATGAATCCATAACTTGCTGGCAAGTGAAGGGTGAATATAAACTTACCATCCCAGTCACTGCTGTTTCAGGGCTTTCACATGACCACGATCCTCTTCCATCCTTAGGCAACCCATCCATTCCCTTCACTCCTGTGAACAAAGTCAGGGAGAGTATACTTATTGAAACGTTTGTCTTGTTTGGACGCAGTACTTGTTTTGTTTCAGTGACATGTTACAGTTGGCTCAATGTTTTGTTAGTTTTATTGAGAATATTTTTAAAGGACAAGGTAAAAATATTCTCAATAAAACTAGAATATTATTAGGGCTTCTGGTTTTAAGTTCTAACTGCTGAATACCAACAAAACCATCCCTAATACAAAAACATGAAATCAGCGTTTATCCAAAAAACATAGGAAAGATACCAGAAATTATAAGGGTCTACACAACCGAAACAAACAATAGGGGCATGTTTTATAAAGCGCACTAAGGTGTTGCACGTTAATTGATCTGTGTAGAGCCTGCTGATGAGCACTTAAGGGTCTCTAGTGTGCTTTGACATGGTGCTGTTTGAAACAGTACTATGTTAATACACACTGGGAAACATTACAAAGATTACTTATTATAGTAGATACACAAAAATCCTCTAACCTCCCTCCCATTTTTGGGCATAGAATCGTAGGACTGGAAGGGACCTTGAGAAGTCATCTAGTACAGTCCCCTGCATTTATGGCAGGACTAAGTATTATCTAGACCATTCCTGACAGGTGTTTGTCTAACCTGCTCTTAAAAATCTTCAATGATGGCAATTCCACAACCTCCCTAGGCAATTTATTCCAGTGCTTAACCACCCTGACAGTTAGGAAGTTTTTCCCAATGTCCAACCTAAACCTCCTTTGCTGCAATTTAAGCCCATTGCCTATCCTCAGAGGTTAAGAACAACAATTCACCCTCCTCCTTGTAACAACCTTTTATGTACTTGAAAACTTATGTCCTCTCAGTCTACCCCTTTCCAGACTAAACAAACTCCCCTCCCTCCCTCCCAAATCTTTCCTCATAGGTCATGTTTTCTAGACCTTTAATAATTTTTGTTGCTCTTCTCTGGACTTTCTCCAATTTGTCCACATCTTTCCTTAAATGTGGCACCCAGAACTGGACACAATACTCCAGCTGAGGCCTAATCAGCGTGGAGCAGAGCAGAAGAATTACTTCTTGTGTCTTGCTTACAACAACTCCTGCTAATACATCCCAGAATGGTGTTCACTTTTTTTGGGGGGAGCAATAGTGTTACACTGTTGACTTATATTTAGCTTGTGGTCCACTACGAACACCAGATCACTTTCCGCAGCACTCCTTCCTAAGCAGTCATTTCCCATTTTGTAAAGAAGGAACAGTCAATTGCACACAAAGTGGAGTACTTTGCATTTGTCCTTACTGAATTTCATCCTATTTAATTCAGATCATTTCTCCAGTTTGTCCAGATCATTTTGAATTTTAATCCTATCCTCCAAAGCACCTGCAACCCCTCCCAGCTTGGTATCATCCACAAACTTTATAAGTGTACTCTCTATGCCACTATGTAAATCATTGATGAAGATATTGAACAGAGCCAGACCCAGAACTGATCCCTGCAGGACCCCACTTGTTATGCCCTCCCAGCATGACTGTGAAGCACTGATAACTGGTTGGAAAACCATTCCCAGAGCATAGTTATGTACCCACCTTATAGTAGCTCCATCTAGGTTGCATTTCCCTAGTTTATGAGGTCATGAGAAACAGTTTCAAAAGCTTTAGTAAAGTCAAGATATACCATCTCTACTGCTCCCCCTACCCCCAGCCGCAAAGCTTTCTTTGATGGGGTAATGAGCCATCAGGTTGGTTTGACACAATTTGTTCTTGACAAATCCATGCTGTTACTTATCACCTTATCTTCTAGATGTTTGCAAAATTGATCCTTAATTTGCTCCATTATCTTTCTACATCTGCATAAAAAATTTAAATTGCCAAAAATAAATCCTGAAAAATGAAAATACCCCCCAAAACAGAAGCCCTAAATAAATAGTTTTGGCCATCAGTGCAATACAGCCACCTCTGGAGCACAACACAGCAGCTGTTTAATAGTGCAAGATGCTACCCAACAGCTAAATGCAGGAAATGGAGAATCGTCGATTTAAATGAAGCTTCTTATAGGCAGAATGTAAATTAGCTCTATTGCAATTTGGCCAGGACAGTAGGACTAGGACCCTCATCAGAAGTGTCAGAAGTGCCATAGTGAAGACTTCTCCCCGATTTTCATTTACACTGCTTCAACAGTGCCTAGAAGGGGCCTTAGTAGAAGTGAGAATCAGGTCTTTTTTTTTTTTTTTATTTAATACCTTATCCAAAATACAGCAGACTGGACAGTCCAGTGCCTCCCACTACTACCCTGGGGCAATAGTGGAGGATCAACGCCCAGGGAAGTGTGGCCCCTCCTGGATCAAGCATCCCACTTCCTGGAGAATCTTGAAGTTTCCTTAGGACTCTCATCCAAAAGTGAACTAGTGTCAGCCCTACTTTGCTAGGCCTGATTAATGCACACACCTGAAGGGCGTATGGCTGAAGGCAGTTTAAAAATTTGCTACTCTGAATAATTGCCCTATTATGTCCAAATCGAGCTTAAGGCTAGAGAGAAAAGGAAGAAGAAAAAAAAGCCTGAAAATAATGCTAATAGATCCAGGGATAGGCCAGCTCACGTGCAAGCACTCAGACAGTGGTTTGATTACTTAGGTCAATTGCAAAAATCTAAAACTAACAGATTTAACATTAAAGTCCAGGTCAGATTAAATTGTTTAATATTTACTTGGCTGCCAAATGAATTTAGAGGGTTACAATCGCATCTCAATGCACAAGGATTTATGCAAGTAACTTCCAGTGGTGTTTACAGAATGGCAATTTACGGGCCGAGGGATGTGGGCCACTTCTGAGATATGGTGGTCCACGGGGTGGATTTGTATTAAGGATAGTGTGGTTTTGTAGTCATACAGGCACAGAGATGATGATATACCCAATGGTGTTGTGCACTTGTGGGCAATATGCTTTCCCTATCTGCACTTGCTAAATTTTAAATCTTATTGGTATAAGAAATAGTGGTCTAGAGGTTCAAGCAGGGTGTTCTATGCTTGACTTTAAGCACGATCTCTGCTGCTTTTTGGTTTTATTACAATTACCCTTTCTAAAGGATTGTCTGCCTGAAGGAAGGCAAACAGTTTCCACTCTGCTGCTTATCCATGGAAATATTCCTTTACCAGCATTGATCACATGCTAGTTTAGCACTGAAGGAAAAAAGTATTCACAGGTAACATGGATTGATTTGGGACTTTGCTAAGGTTACTGTTTTTCTAGAGAGTGAATAAGGATAGCTGGTGAATTATCTTGCTTTCGTGTCAGGCAGTTAGGCATTCACTGTTGTGGAGGAAAATTTTTTCCAAAGTGCTTACAGAGGTTTAGGAGCACAAGTCCCTTTCATTTTCAGATCAGTGGTATTTGTGCTCCTAAATCCCTGTAGGCACTTCTGAAAATCTCCCCCCCGCCAGTTTCTATTAGAGACTTGGAGATTTTTTTCTTTGCACACACTGACATTAATGGCAAATGTTCACCTCTATGGAGAGCAGATCCAGCAGTAAACTGGAGATTTAAGGCCAGTTTTTCTAGAGCTTAGCGCCCAGCTCTCATTTAGGAGTGAAATGAGTGGACAGTTTGGAAGCTGCTGGGTGATGGGCACTTTGAAGACCTTTGTTTTTTTGGGGTGTGGGGCTTACAATCCACTAGGGCAGGGATTGGCAACCTTTGGCCTGCAGCCTGCCAGGGTAAGCCCCCTGGTGGGCCGGGCCGGTTTGTTTACCTGCCGCGTCCGCGGGTTCGGACGATCCCGGCTCCCACTGGCCGCGGTTCACCACTCCAGGCCAATGGGGGCTGCGGGAAGCGGCATGGGCCGAGGGATGTGGGCCACTTCTGAAATATGGTGGTCCACGGGGTGGATTTGTATTAAGGATAGTGTGGTTTTGTAGTCATACAGGGACTGTAGAAAAACCCAAATGTATGCCATTCAAAATCATCTAAATGGCGACAGGTACCACCACTTCACGTTACCATTACAGCCAATTTTGTAATCGCTCGTCGTGTGACCAGGCAGCAAAGATGAGGTAAATCAGCCATAACAGCTGCAGGGCAGCTCCACCAACACTATCTGGTTCAGAAGCTTTGCTGTGCTTTCTAGCTCCGCTCAGGGCTGACTGGTTTCCTTTTATTTGCTGCGGAGTTCAACGGAGAATAGCGTTTGATGGTTGCTGGGAGCTCCACAAGAAGAAAGATGGGATAATACAATGGAAATGAAGCTGAGCGAACAGTCTCTCCTCTTAAGAGATGCATACAGGCAAAGTTGGAGAGAAAGGAAGCTGCAGTAATTGAAGAGGATAGATTTGCACTGCCAGTTAAACAGGAACTTTGAACGTGCAGGAAACAGGGAGAGACCTGGATTTGTTTTAACAAAAGGAGAAAGGATGTTAGTACTTGAGGAACAGGTTTTAGTATAGAAAGCAGCTGCCTCTCTCCTTGGTGGTGCAGGATTCAGTGAACATACAACATCTGTGCTCACATCAAGGTGTTCATCAGCTTTAAAACCCAGAAGGATCTGGGACCCATGTATCCAAGCAGGTGTCTCCCCATTACTCTGTGATGCCTACCCAAAACCAAACCTCTTGACAATGATTAAACTATTGGTGTGCTGAGACCACTACTTATCATACTGATCAATATTGGCTCAGTTTCCTTGTATTCCTCTGTCTGTATCAGTCTTATCTTTTGAGTAATATTTAGATTGTAAATTCTTCGTGGCAGGGACTGTCTTTTGTTCTGTTCCTAGGTGCTCCAGTAACGCTAACAAATAGTATCCCAGCACTGCCGTTAATCTGCTGGGAGACTCTAGCTGTTGGTTCCTCAATTACCACCATGGTCTCAGGGGAGACATCCTGCCTGGTCTATCTTATGTGCTCGCTCTGGCAGGTCTAGTGACTTTAGAGGCCTTTAAAAACTATAAGGGGAGGGGGGGGAGAGAGGAATAAAAACCAAACAAAACCAAAAAAACCCTAGTCTTCGCAAATGGCATATCCAATGAG